ATATCCCCATCCTTTTTTCTTTTTTATTGATTTTATTGGGGTGACATTGGCTAATAAAATTATATAGTTTTCAGGTGTACACTTCTACAATACATCATTTGTATATTGTATTGTGTATTCACCATCCTAAGTCAAGTCTCCTTCCATCATCATTTATCCTCCCTACAAATAAATGGAAGCATATACCGTGTTCCTGGATAGGAAGAATTAACATCATTAAAATGTCCATACTATCCAAAGCAATTTATAGATTCAATGCAATTATATCTTCACTATTATAGTTAGTGACTTCAATACCCCTCTATCAGTACTGGCAGAACCAGGAGACAGAAAATCAGTAAGCATATAGCTAAACTGCAAAGCATTATCAATCAGCAGGATCCAATTGACATCTTTCTCAATTCATGTGGTTCATCAACAACAACAGAATACACATTCTTCTGATGATCACTAGGAACATTTACCAAGAGAGATCACATTCTGGGCTTAAAACACATCTGAACAAGTTTAAAAGCATAGAAATCATGCAAAGTATTCTCTCAGACCACAGTGAAATTAAACTGGCAATCAATAATAAAAAGATGCCTGGAAAACCCCAAAATTTTGGGGAGTAAACAATGTACTTCTAAATAACACAAATTGGTAACTTATACCCTCAAAAAAACCTGCACATGGATATTTATAGCAGCTTAAATAATCACCCCGAACTGGAAATGACCAAAATGTTCTTCAGTAGATGGATGGATAAATAAAATGTGGTACAGTTGATCCTTAAACAGCACAGGGGTTAAGGGCTGCACATCAGAATCTCCTGGGAGACCTGCTGGTTGTTTTTAACCCTGAGAATCTCTACCTTCAAAGGCTCCCCAGGTGGTTCTGCATCACAGCCCGAAGGTAGACCTCCTCTAAAGTAGCTGTGGTCATAGTCAGGGTTGCTGGTTACTCACAGTCAAAATGACATCAGCACAAATGTCTGTGGGCTCCTGGGGGCCTTTACCCAGGAGGAAAGAATTCATGCTGTTGAGGACCCTCAGTTTCTCCCTTGCTCGGATGCACCTCTCCAAGCTTGCACAACCATCTGAGTTGCCTCCCTGGACTTGCAGGATAATAATGCTTTTCAGGAACCTGTTGAGCTATTTCTTGATGTTTCAGTTTCCAGTTAAACACTGGGAGCGGTTTATACAAGTCTATAGAAAAGGATAGAAAGAAACGCTAGTAAAAGATTTAGTAAAATAAACTTTCACCAGAAATAGAATTGCAGATGTAAAACGTTCATAAAGATGTGCTAAGTTAATAAGTGTGATAAATATAAATAAATTTGAGTAAGGAGGGTAAATTTTTAAATCTCTATGTAACTGAAATCTTTATGGATGAAGTTGGATGGTGTCTGGGATTTGCTTCATAATAGTCTGACTGTGGGAGAGAGGGGACAGATATGGATGAAAGATTGATCGTTGTTGAAGCTAGGTGAGAGGTATACAAAGGTTTATTATACTCTTCTCTCTACTTCTGAGTATGTCTGAAATTTTCCATAAGAAAACATGTGTAAACAGCTATGTGTACAAATCTCAGCTGGTTTGGCTCAGTGGCTAGAGCGTTGGCCTGCAGACTGAAGGGCCCAGGTTCCATTTGGTCAAGGGCACATAACTCGGTTGCAGGCTCCTCCCCGGCACGGGCCCTGGCCGGGGCAAGTGCAGAAGGCAACCAATCGATGTGTTTCTCTCACATTGATATTTCTCTCTGTCTTTCCCTCTGTCTTCCCCTCTCTCTTAAAACCAATGGAAAAATATCCTCAGGTAAGGATTAAAAAAAAAATCACAGAAATGAAGTATGTAGTGAATTTCTTACTACACATATCCTTGCCCAGCTTGCTAAATTCAGCCCCTCCATGTCCTCAGAACATCCTTTGAGATCCAGATATCATTGACCTGAAACTGAATTCAGTTTTTAAAAATTCCACAAGCATTAGAACTACTATCCGATTCTTTCAGGACGCGATTTATTGAGTGCGCTGTGTTTGTGTATCAGGCTAGGCTCGTGAACATGGCGTGCTCCTTGCTCATGAATAGTTGGCAGTCTCCAGTCGGAGAGACGCTCGCCAAGCCATGAGGAGGTTGTATTGAAGTGTGGGAGAAGCCACAGCCAGGGTGTGAACCCAAAGCTCCCACAGGTGGTGTGTCATCAACAGGAATGATGCACATTGCAGATGAAAAAGAAGTTCCACAGTTTCTAAGAGCATTAGAGAGCTCTCTCGGACTCTCAAGCACTGATTTAGGTATTTAGTATTCCACTATCCTTGGTTTTAACATGCTTATTTGACTAAGACCATCTATCAAACATTGGTCAACTCTTCAGACTTTTTTTCTTTGTTAAATTAATTGTTATACAGGAGGAAACGTCACAAATGTGTAATTTAAAATAGAGCCTTAGTAGTAATTTTCAGAACACCATCTCTAGCAAACAAAGAGACTGTTCTAGGATTGTAGGGGGCCTGGCACCAATACTTACTAATACTAACGCTAGCAATTTACATCCCTCACTTAATCTTATGCCAGCGGTCTGAGGAACGTTTGACCTTCATTTTAATAACAAGGAAACGCAGGTTCAGGGAAGGTGATTACCTTGGCCCAAGAGATAAGGCCAAAACTTGAACCCAAACATTTAGAACTTTAAAACCCAGGCTTTTTTCAATACATCACTGTTTCTTCTGGACCTGTAGTCTTCAAACCATGTTTGCAAGCATACCCCCTAAAGAAATTGGGGGATGGGGGTGGAAGTGGGGGTAGGAATGGGACTGTGTGCCTCTCATTAAAGAAGCTTCCCCCAAAACTGTTACTTTGAGTTTTCTTTTATTTGGCACTGTGGAAGTTTCTACACTTCGAGCCCTGAGCCAGCCAGGTTGGGTGGGGAAGGAGATCCCAGCAAGCCTCCCTGGCGGCTCCGCTGGCGGCTGGCGAGGGTGGGCCTGGGGGCCCGGGAGCTGCCTTAGTCAGGGCTACCCACCTCCCCTCCGTTCAGAAGGTAACATTGACAGTTTCCTGGGGATGTTCGTTCTTCTCAAGCGTAAGTTAAATACATACCTCTCAAATTAAGTAGGAGAACTCTAAAAGCCAAATCTCAAGGTTTTAAATACAATAGGAAGACCCAGAGCTGCAGACTGAGTTAAGACTCATCCAACATTTGCCCTCCTAGAGGACGAAGGCCAAAGTCCAGCGTTAGGAGAGAGAAGCATTCTGCGAACACAGAGAGAAAGTTCCACGTCCTAACCAAGCAGAAATGACAACACGGGCCCTCCCTGGTTGAGAATAAGAAACCAGACCTCTAACTTTCCATAATTCGGAATCAGAAGGTTAGACTGGTACTGCTCTAAGATGTAAGGGAGAATGATGAGAAGCAAGAAAGTCGAATAAATCCACAAAATGACCCAGAACATAGACTTTTTTTAATCCGTAAATTGCCTCCCATCCAGCAGCTTGCTTTCTGACACCTCTGTAGATCACCTGTCTTCTCTCGTTATTGAGAACATAATGCTGCTTCACACATCCCTGCAAGATGGCATTCCTGAATCTTGAAACGTGTCCAGATCCCAAGTACATAAAGACTTCCTCTTAAAAACACCTAGAGCGCATTTTAACATGGGACTTACAGAATGTGCCAGCTCCCGTGGACCAGTGCCATCCTTTCTGTCTGACGCATTCTTGTGACATACAAATCATCCCTCCAGGTTTCCCAAAAGGGAAAACACCCAAGACTCTCTGAGCCCTGTGCCGTCGTCGGCTGTATTTGAATGTGGTCATACTTCACACAGAATTTGGTGTGTTACATATATGCTAGGCATCCCATAAAAATTTACTGTTTGGTTCAGCTCTCCCAAATATATTGTGAGCACTCATTAAGAACCCAGACAATATTTTTTAAATAGACTAGTTAGCATTTAAAATGCTTGCACTAAGCGCAGTAAATCAGAGAAAGACAAATACTATATGATCTCACTTATCTGTGAAATCTAAAACAACAACAATACACACATAAACCAAAGAAACAAAACTTCAAATACAGAGAAAAGATTGGTGGTTGCCAGAGGCAGGCGGTGGGCGAAACGGGTGTAAATGGTCAAAAAGTACAAACTTCCAGCTGTAAGATAAGTTCTGGGTTGTAATATACAGCACAGAGACTAAAGATGACAATATTGTACCAGATCTGAAAGATTCCAAGAGAGTAGATTTTCAAAGGTCTCATCATAAGAAAAAGAAATGTGTAACTACTGTGTGGTGATAGATGTAAACTAAACTTACTGTGGGGATCATTTCACAATATACACACATATCAAATCATTATGCTGTTTATCTGAAACTAGTACAACGTTATATGTCAACTTTATCTCAGTACAAGGGGGGGGGGGGGAATAATACTTGCAATAGAGGAGCATGGTAAAAGTCCGAAGCAACAACACTACAGCTTTACCCAGAAGGTTGGAGCAACTAACCTACCATTAAAGTATTTCTTGGGCACCAGCCTCAGCCACCCAGGTCAGTGGTCGGCAAACTGCGGCTCGCAAGCCATATGCGGCTCTTTGGCCCCTTGAGTGTGGCTCTTCCACAAAATACCGACTTCTGCGCATGGGCCACGAAGTTTCAATCGCACTGTACGTGCGTGCCCACACGTGGTATTTTGTGGAAGAGCCACACTCAAGGGGCCAAAGAGCCGCATGTGGCTCGCAAGCCGCAGTTTGCCGACCATGGGCCCATGTCAACAGCACTCACTTGCCAGAGGGAAGGCATCCACGAAGGTTTCTCCCAGTGTTGGGGGCATCTGCAGCTCAGTGGCCACTCTTCTGAAAGGGTTATGTGGGTTTTTTAAACATTTATCTTTATTGCTGAAAGTCATACAGATGTGCCCTTTGTTCCCATTCCCTCCTCCCGTTCCCTCCTCCCGTCCCCTCCTCCCGTCCCCTCCTCCCGTCCCCTCCTCCCGTCCCAGGCCTTCACCACACCATTGTCTGTGCCCGTGGGTCATGCATATTTGCATGTAAGTTCTTAAAGCACTGGGTTCTAGAGAAGCAGACTGAGCATTACCTGCCAGTTTTTCCTTGTGCACATACTTGGCCACGCCCTCCCTGCCCCCGAGAAATCACCATTGCTCTCAGGACCTTGAACTTATCGGCACCAGACTCTCCCCAATCGAGTTCACATACTCTGACACCACATCAAACCTGCACACATTCCAAGAACATTTCCTACACCTCTCTGGTGAGCACGAACATTGGTCTCATGGGAAAGTCCATAGCAAGTGAATTTCCAACAGGGCTTATCCTCTGTGTTATTTTTAAAACCTACGTTGTCAACTTAGCGTACGGAGAAAGAAGGCCTCCAAAGAACTGGCCAGCTCCGGAATCGTCCACCTTGCACTGAAGAACGTGGAGATTCCTCCCAACACACCTGACCTTATGAATCGGTCTTTGTCACTGCATTTCACTGCAATCCCTACCACCTGCCCCTGAGGACCTGGACTTGTTGGGGCACGGACTTTGTTCTTCGCCTTGGCACTGTCTGCCGTCCTCGGAGCTTCATGTACACACGAAGCTTCCGACAGCTAATTGTAGTCAAACCTTGTAAAGGTTTGTTTCAAAAGAGAAAGAAACTGCTTTATTGTAAACTACAGAATGACTTCTTCCCATAGCGGATGCTGAGACGCACCGTTTTCTCAGCTCGACCTGAACAGTCCATGCAGAGCTGTGTTTTCTGTGGCCCTCATTCCCTTTAATTTGTGGAGGTGGCTTTGCCTAAAGTTGTCGCTTATTTATGTGCCTAGAAAATCATCAACACCCAGATTTGCCAGCAACCTGACAAAGGCTCTTCCATTTTTCTGGGGAGCCAGTTACAGTGTGTCACTTTTTGAACGAGAGCTTCATGTTCAGGCAGGAATTTTTTCGGTGGGGGCGGGGGCAGTAAAACAAAACTCCAGAGGAGGATTGAGAGCATTGCCCAGAAGCTGGTCTGTCCTTGTGGCTTCCTATTTGCTCAGCCTCCGTTTTGCTGTGAGTCCTTGCGCAAACAGACTGAATACCTGGATTATGCCCTCATCTGGACTAGAGTACACATACATTACATACCCTTTTCTCACTAATCAGCCTGACACATTCCTTTGTTGGGAAAGGTTCCAAAACAAACACTGTCAGGGCATCT